CCTGATTTTAAACCGTGAAGTATTCCCTTGTTCTATTCGAACAACTGCCTCTTGGTCCATAACCAGGTTCCATATGAGCACAACTCAGTGTTCTGGAATTGTCATTCAACTCAAGGCTGTTCCCAGTTTGCTACGATACAGAGTCCAATGCCTCGGCATAGTCCGTAAAACACAAGTGAGAATCCTTCTGCTATTCTCAGCTTTCAGCCAAGAGTCATCTGCTGTCAGCAGTGATAGTCCTTGTTCCACGTCTTCTTCTGAATCTGGCTCGAATTTATAGCACTTTTCTGTCGATGTACTGCTCCAACTTTTTTGAGTGATCTTCAGCAAAATTTTACTTGTATGTGATATTCATGATATTTTTCTATAAATTGAGCATTCTTTTGGGTCACCTTTCTTTGGAATGGGTACAAATATGAATCCCTTTCAGTCCATTGGCCAAGTAGCTAACTTCAAAATTTTTTTGCATAGGTGAATGAATACTTCAAGTGCTTCCTCAGTGTGGTGAAATATTTCCATTGGTATTCCATAAATTAATTCCTAGAGCCTTGGTTTTGGCTAATGCCTTGAATTCACTTTGAACTTCTCCCTTCAGTACCATTGGCTCTAGATCAAACACAACCTATTGTAATGGTTAAATGATGTCTAGTTATTTTTGGTACAGTGGGCCTGTGTCTTTCTTCCATCTTTTGATGCTCCCTGCATCATTCAATATTTTATCTGTAGAATCTCCCAATATTGCAACTCAAGGAAATTATTTCAGCTTCAGATATGCTAGGTATTCTTCTCTTTGGGCTTTATGACTCCAAGTCTTTCATATTTCATTATAATACTTTATTTTATCTTCTCAAGCTGTCTCTGAAATTTTCTGTTAAACTCTTTGTCTTCATCATTTCTTCCATTTGCTTTGCCTATTCTATGTTCTCTTCTGCATTAACTTTGATCTTTTCTGTCTTTTAAGTAACCTTTTAGTTTATTCATGTATGATATTCTTGATGTCATCCCATAACTCTTCAGGTTTTCTGTCAGTAGTGTTCAATGAATCAGATCTAGTCTTGAGATGTTCCTGAAACTCAAGTGGGATATATACTCAAGGTTGTATTTTGCCTCTTGGCAATAAATAAATAAATAAACTTGTTTTACATTTCTGCAACTTCTACTTGAATTTGCATCTAAACAATTGATGGTCTGTTCCACTGTCACCTTCTCTCCTCATTTTGGCTGCTGATCTTGAGCTTCCCCATCATCTCTTCCCACAAATGTAGTCAATTTTATTGCTGTGTATTTCATGTGGAGATGTCTATGTATATAATCACTGCTTATGTTGTCTAAAAAAGCTTATTTGTGGTGAATAAGTTGTTGGTCTTCACCAAAAAATTTTGCAACACTGGAGATCACATAATAGAATGTTGCACATTAGGTAATCACTTTTAAATATTCTTTTTTTTAAAAACATTTTATTAGGGGCTCATACAACTGTTATCGCAATCCATACACACATCAATTGTGTAAAGCGCATTTGTACATCATTCTCAAAACATTTTCTCTCCACTTAAACCCCCAACATTAAGTCCTCATTTTTCCCCTCCCTCCCCGCTCCCCCCTCCCTCATGAGCCCTTGATAGTTTATAATTTGGTATTTTGTCATATCTTGCCCTGTCCAACGTCTCCCTTCACCCACTTTTCTGTTGTCTGTCCCCCAGGGAGGAGGTCACATATAGTTCCTTATAATTGGTTCCCTCTTTCCTACCCATTCTCCCTTTACCCTCCCTGTTTCACCACTCACACCACTGGTCCTGTAGGGCTCATCCGCCCTGGATTCCCTGGATTTTCAGTTCCTATCTGTACCAGTGTACATCCTCTGGTCTAGCCAGACTTGCAAGCTCGAATTCGAGTCATGGCAGTGGGAGCGGTGGACACTGTGTTGCCTGAATTAATATTCTCTACTTGATCTCTAGATTCTAATATCCTTTGCAATAGCTACACAGAAATCACGGAAAAAAATCTTTATTAAGGGGGTTTATTAAGGAAGTTAACAAGTTGTGATGCCAGTGAGAAATGCTCAGGGTTGAGTTGTTTTTATCAAGATATGTTGCAAAACTCTGTCCAAACATATGCTCAAAAGGCATACCACTTTGCTATAAACCTCAACCCAAAGGTATTCAGTTTAAGCTTGGTGGGCCACCAACCCAGCTCCCTGAATTAAGTACCAGAGCACTCCACTCCAGTAAGCCTCTCAGCCCAAAGGCACTCAATTCTACTTCCATAGGTAAGCAAGTCCAATTTCCCCAATTAAGCCAGAGTCCTGTACAAAATCACTCAGCTTTACGTGCTCCATGGGTTGGCATGTCCAACATGCTATCCCATGCTCTGCCTCGTGGTTCTGATGCCCTCCTTAATCATATACCTGACATCTGAATCCAGGAGGTTCACTGCACTGCTTCACTTCTGGTTCTTGCTGGTGAGGATATTCTTCCCTGTGCTTCACAAAGGGCTCATTTTATACACAGCAGGGTGGGACTCCAGGGGATCCTATTCACAATTACTCAACGGCTAATATTATTGGTTTCTTCACCTACCTTCTTACCAGACCCATGACAGGAAAGGTAGTTTGGTGGGAGTTAGAGACTAGCTACAAGAGCCACATTAAATAAATCATGGTCCCTGCGGGTATTTCTACTAATAATTGTTTTAGCTACTACAAACAATAATATTGTTAAAATTTTCCTGATATACATGTGCAATTCTTCAAACTTCCAATTCTTCCTTCATATTCAATCTCACTGTCTCATAAGGTTTTTTTGTTCTTCTTACAGGGTCACACTGGCTATATCCTTTGACCAAATGTCATAGCTCTTCTCAAAGTGGGCCTCTCCACTCCATGCCCTCTCTAGATTCCAGTAACCCTACTGGAAGTGACAAAATCCCACTGTTACTAGCCCCAGAATACTTCACTAATTTGTGTGATTTTCTTGTATTCTGAACTCACTTTTGTGAATTTTTGCTGTTATACTTAGGTTTTGTGCCAACTACACTGGGACAGGATCCTCAGTAGTTTGAACCTAGCATATTATAAACAAACCCAGGTTTCCCTCTGTAGCAAAGCAAAACCTTACTTCAGTCACAGCCTGATGATGTCTCCTTGGCAATGCCTCCTACTTCATAAGTGTAAATACATCCTATGGAGAACTCACCCTTCCTCTTCTTCCTGCTGGCATAGATCCTGCATCTGCTTTCTTAGGACCAGCCACATTGCCTGTCAACCCGGGGAGTCATCAGAGTATAACATCTGATTTGCTGATTCAAATTGGCCTCCACCAGCCTGCCTCCTGGTCCATCCTCCTGCTTCTTGGTTCACAGAGACAACTGCATGTGTTGGGAAGGGTCTCCAACATAGCATCAGAGTCACACACTTGAGTTGGACTGGGCTTGCCCACTCTGGCTGTGTGGACCGCTTTCTTGATATAAATTTCTTTCTTATTCATATGTGAGCTTCACCGATTTGGTTTCTCTAGAAAACCCAGGCTAACACAATTTCTTTATGACATTCTTCTTGAAATATCTTAGTTTAGCCATTCCATGTGTTTCCTGATGGGAATCAGACTAAAACAAATATATCATAGTATATATGAATGTTCAACTTTATAATGAAAATTAAATTATTTTCCAAAGAAGTTGTACCACTTTAATCTGAAGCAAAAAATGTATAAAAGAGCCTATTTTGTGCATGTCTCCCACACTTGGCATTATATGGTTTCTTAATTTTTGACACTAACTTGATATAAAATGGTATAATATGGTTTTGACTTGTAGGTATTAAATTATAAGTTCATTTCAGCATCACTATCAAAATACATGTTAAATGTATGCATTTTCATTTCTGTAAAGTGCTTATTGAAATATTTTGCCCACTTTTGTGTTTTACAATTGGTTTGTGACAGTTACTTATATAGTCTTGATATTACTATCATGTGCTCTAGGTATTTAAAATTTCTTCTACCAATACTTTCTTTAATGATTTTATTGTCATGTAAATTAGCTCATACAATTCAGTAGTTCAAACATATTAAAAAGAATTGTACAATCATCACTACGATCAACATTAGAACATTTCCTTCTTTCTTGTACCCATTGTTATTAATTCCCCATTCCCCTCCCTCTCGCACCTCCCCTGCCATTGCCAATTCTTCTTATTTAATTTGTTATAGTATGCCAATGAACAAGAGTTCACCATTTTAGTGGAGGTGATTTTTCATTATTTTCCTTCTTGGTAGGTTTTTGTGTCTTTTTTTTTTTTTTTAAGTGATCAGTCTCCAAAATGATCCCCTGTGATTCTTATCTTCTGCATTATTGAGTTTGGGTTGTCTCACGGGTTGGATCCATGTGACCAATGGAATATGGTGGATGCTATGGTGTTTAATTTCTTAAACTAAATGGTAAAGGGCATTGCTGCTTTTGCCTTGCTTGCTCTGGTGGACGTGAACTGCCATTTTGTAAGAATATGCAAGTAGGTCTATGGAGAGTTTTATGTAGCTATCAATAGTCAGTAACAACACATAGGTAACTCATCTTGTGAGCCATGCTTGTCAACATGTAAGTGAGCTATCTAGACAATAAATCTGTCAACTTGTCATGCCTTCAGATGACTGCAGCCCTTGTCACCATCTTGGATGATTATTATATTTCGAGGGAGAAAGATCATAATTTTCAAAATAGACTTTATTGCAAGTCTTTTAAGTAACAGAATAGTATGGTCTCTAGCATGAAGAATGTTGGTAGAATGAAGTTAGAGAAAGGAAAGAAAATAATGAAGAACAATAGGAAGATCTCCTTCTTTCATTAGTGGAAAAGATGAACCCAGAAGAGGGATGGTTAAAGGAAGAGAAGCAACTGGATTTCCATTAATATCTATGACACAGGAATAGTCATAAATTAATCAGGAAAAATTTGTCATTTTATGATAAGTATCCATTTTCAAATGCCCATCAATAAAGTTCCAATTATATATAAATCTTCTTCATCTCGCATATTGAGTTCATCTTTAAATCACAGAAAACATCATTCCAGCCCCATTTTCCTGGTGTCCAGAAAACAATTGAAACACATTGCTCTCCAGAGAAATTGGGTTCACGATCGTGCCAGAATCTAAAGGAAACAAGAGGTAGAAACTTTGTCCACTAAATTCATAATGAAGCAAGTAGAAACTACATAGGGTTACAGTTGAACAAGAATGGAGTTCAAGGGAAAACTTACCAATGTTTGCTCTCCTCCAAATATCAAGTGTAGACACATTCTTTTACACTCGCTCCTCTAACATTTACATGGCAAAATATTTATGAGCTACTGTAATCTTGGGACTCTCCCTCCTCTACAGAGATCTTTTTTCCTGGTCTGGAATATTGAACAATTTCTGTCTAGTGGGCACATAACGAAGAGGTTGCCTTCTTTCATTTGCCTCTATCCTCATAAAGTTGCCTAAAATGGGTGTCAGAGTGACTAAACCTATATCTAAAGCAGCACCTGCTTCTAAGGAAGATAATGTGTGGTATGAGGTGGGGCTGGGATGGAACGTTATTTTTTTCAGTTAAACGCCTAGGTTTGCTTCTCATTCATATTAATACTTCCAGGTATTAGATTCCTCATCTCTAAAACAGGAATCATAATGTTGTTGTTAGCTGACTTTGAGTTTGCCTACGACATATGGTGACCCATGCCTAACTCTTACTTGGTCCAGTGTTATCCCCATGATCAGTTTTGGATCAAAATGTTGTGATCAATAGGTTTTTCACTGGCTGATTTTCATAAATAGATCACTAGTCCATCTTTGTCTGTGATATCTGTTCAACATCATAGCAACAGCAAATCTTCATTTACCGACTAGTGGTGACTTGACATGAAATGCATTGGTCAAAAATTAACCTGGTTACCAGCAGTTCTACCAAAGTCCGTACAAATCATAATAAGATTCCCAAATAACTTACTAGGTTCTATGAGAATCAAATGGGAATGTATAATTAAAATCTGTTACTTGTAGATCTACAGAAAAAATAGTATGAATATATGATTATCCTACTAGAATTGAAAATAGCTCTGAAGTACATATTTCAACTCATTAATGAGAGTAGATTTTAACTGAGTTTAGAGGCAGCAAACAGCAGTGGTTAAAAGCATCGGCTTTGGAATCATAATAATATGGGGTTGAATCCCGTTTCTCATCTTAGTCATTCATTTCTCTTGGTCAAGATACCTAAGCTTTCATCTGTAAGATAGATTCTGAAAAGAGATGGTTTTATGAGGTGCGTCTCAAACAGTGCATCGCCTTGGTGGTTGTTAGGTGCCATCGAGTTGGTTCCAACTCACAGCAATCATATATTCAACAGAACGAAACACTGCTCCGTCATGCACCATCCTCAGAAGTGTCAATTCAACTCTTTGAGGGCCTTCCTCTTTTTCTCTGCCCTTCCATTTTACCAAGCATGATGTCCATCTCCAGAGACTGGTCTTTCCTGGTAACATGTCCAAACTATAATAGCACGTCCAGTGCATCACCATAGGAAGTGCTTAATAGATATTAGATCCTATGATGACTGTAATTATTGTTATAATTACTTGTAACTTTTAACAAAATTCCTCCAGATGTTCTATGTAACTAAGACTCTATAATTAACCTAGGATTGAACTCACCTAACATTTTCCTTGTAAGGTGTCTGATCAATCCACTGCCATTTATTCTTCCCCTGTGGATCTGATAGTCCCAGAAAATAAGGAAGTGATTCATTCAGATGATGGATAATGAAATTCTGCATGAAGAAAAAGAGGAGTCAAACACTTTAGAATTTCTAGATGGAACAAAGTAACATATTTTATAAATTGAAGAAGAAAATAAAATGCAAGATGTCAGGAAGCAATTACATGATAACATATTGCCCAAAAGTACAAATCAAAAACACCAGCATGATTGCAAGGAGGAAGGTTGTCCTAACTCATGAATTCCCCCCTCAGACTAAATTTCTTGCTTGTATTTACCAAGAGACAGAATTCTTTTATAAATGTACATAAGTCCATCTGTGTGCATTAAGTAATTGCCTTCATAAATTCAGGTGTATATCATTTTTATTTCTGATTAATTTTCGGTGAAATTGCACCTGAATTCTCAAAAACAAATTGTCTCTCCTATACTCACCTTAACTACTCCTGCTTCAGAAATTTACATGTAGTAAATTTCATGTAAAAGTTAAATGTACCACCATGAGTCACAAAAATTAAATGCACCACCAAGAGACACGACATCCTCTCAGTGACCCACAGCGCTACGGGGAACAGCATTAAAGACACAGTGTGGGAATTGTGCCCAGTGTGACACCACGCACTGGGATGAAACACGAAGGGAGCCAAAAGAGTAGCAAGGGGAGCAAAGCAATAAAGTCCCCAATGAATCTAAAAATAGACTTATGACTCAGGGGGCAGAGCTTGGCTTCTCATCAGACCCAATCTGAAAACATTCATAAGGGTCAACAGTCAGACCCAGAATTATTTATAGGCTTTTTTTTTTCATGCCTATCTATATAAGATAATTGTTCACAATCCCAAGGAGAAAACAATGGAACCAACAGTTACAGGGGGACATGGGAGAGGAGGAGGTAGAGGAAAGGGAGCTGGGAGCCAACAAACCCAGAGACAAGGGAACAACAAGAGATCTAAAATCGATGGTGAGGAGGGCATAGAATGCTTGGTGGGGTTTGAACAAGAGAAATGCAGCTGAGAGGAAGTATTGAGTGCTGAAAGAAGGTTGAACATGATAGTGAGACAGGAGGAAAGTGAAAGGAACTACAGGAAAGAACTAGGGAACAAAAGACATTTATAGAGATATAAATATAGGCATGTATAAATGTAAATATATTAATATAAAATGAATGTGTACTTATGCTTAAAGGTCTATGTACATATATTTATATGTTAAAAATCAAGTTAGCAGATGGACATTGGGCCTCTACTCAAATACTCCCTCAATGCAAGAACACTTTGTTCCAATAACCTGGCATTCTGTAATGCTCACCTACCCAACACAGTCACTGAAAACAAAATGGGCGCATAAGCAAATATGGTGAAGAAAGCTGATGGTGTCCGGTTATTGAAAAATAAAGCATCTGGATTCTTAATGGGTTGAAGTTAAACAAGCAGCCTTCTATCAGGAAAGCAACAAAGCCCACATGGTAGAAGCACACCATCCTGCATGATCATGAGGTGGGTACAGGATCAGGTATCAGAAGACCCAAAATAATCATATTGATGCAAACGAGGGGAATCAGAGTGGAGACCACGTCCATCTGTAGATAATTGGACATCCCTTTACAGAAGGGTCGCAAGGAAGGGAGGAACCAGCCAGTGTGCAGTATAGCACTGATGAAACATAAAACATTCCTCTAGTTCTTTAATGTGCTTTCTCCACCCCCACCCCCACTATCATGACCCCAGTTCTACCTTAAAAATCTGGTTAGACCAGAGCATGTACACTGGTACAGATAAGAGCTTTTGACACACAGAATCTAAGACAGATAAACCCCTCAAAAACAATAATGGTAGTACCAGTATCATGAGAGTGGGGGAAGGTGGGGAGAGAAAGGTTGAACGGATGGCAATGAAGGACGTATGACCCCCACCCCCACCCAGGGTGACAAACACCAGAAACATGGGTGAAGGGAGACAGCAGATGGTGTAAGATATGAAAATAATGAGAATTTATAATTTATCAAGAGTTCATGAGAGGGAGAGGGGGGAGGGAGGAAAAAAATGAGCTGATACCAAGGACTCAAGTAGAAAGAAAATGTTATGAAAAGGATGATGGCAACATATGTACACATGTGCTTGACACAACAGATACATGGATTGTTATAAGAGCCTCCAATAAAATGATTTTTTAAGTATTCAAAAAAAAGAAGTAATAAGGCAAGAATTTGCTAATAAATCAATAGAGGTTAAAAAATCATTAATGAATAATCCATTTGTCCACTAAGCTAATTCTTTGATATTTCCACATTATTGTCTTATAAAAAATTTTATTAAAATAAAATGCAATGAATTTTTGAGCCATTAAACCTGAAATAAAATGGAATGCATTAAGATGGACACCTCGGTGTTAGAGACCTGAAATGCACTGGTATTAGCCATTATGAATCAGAAAATTATATAATTTACTATGCTGGGAATGATACAATCAAGAATGATTGTGTTGCATTGCTCTTCAATAATTTATAAATTATCAAGAATTCATGCAGGAGGTGGGGGGTGGGGTGATGGGCTGATACCAGCACCTCAGGTGGAAAGGAAAGGTTTGGAAATGGCAACATATGTCCAAATGTAATGGACACAATGGATGGATGGATGAATTGTGATAAGAGCTGTACAAAACCACAATAAAATGATTTTTTAAATAATTAAATTAAAATTTAAATCAGTGAATGTCAAAAGAGACTCTGAAACATGCTCTTAATTATAGAAGCTAAAGCAAACTGAGGAAACAATGAAGTCAAAGAGCTGAGCAGAAAATTTCAAATGGCAATTCAAGAAGACAAAGCAAATATTATAATGACATGTGCAAAGACCTGGAGGTAGAAAACCAAATGGTTTTCTGAGGCTGAAAGGATTCAAGAAAATAATCAAGCCTATAGTTGCAGTACTGATTCTATGGACAACATATTGAATGATGCAGGTAGAATCAAAAAAAGATGTGAAGAATACGCAGTCACTGTACCAAGCGCACATACCACCATTTCAGAAAGTAGCTTATGAGCAAGAACCAATGTCCCTGAAGAGAGAAATCTAAGCTGTACTGACAACATTAGCCACAAACAAGGCTCCAAGAATTGGTGGAATACCCATTAAATTGTTTCAACAAGCTGATGAAGCACTGGAAGCATTTACATTTTTATGCCAGGGAATTTGGAAGACCACTACTTGGCCAACTAACTGGAAGAGGTCCATATTTGTACCCATTCTTAAAAAAGGTGATTCAACAAAATGCAAAAAATTATCAAACAACATTATTAATATCAGACGTGAATGATATTTTTGCTGAAGATCATACAACAAAGGTTGCCGCAGTACATTGACAGTGAGCTCGCTGCCAGCTGTTCCGGCTAGATTCAGAAGAGGATATGTAAGAAGGGATAGCATTGTTGATGTCAGATGGATTTTGGCTGAAAGCACATAGTCCCAGAAAGATATTTACTTGTGTTGTATTGGCTATGTCCAGGCATTCGACTGTGTGGTTCATGCAAACTATGGATAGCCTTAAGAAGAATGGGAATTCTGGAACACTTCCTTGTGTTCATTTGGAACTTGCACATGGATAGGAACAAGGGAATACTTCATGGTTTAAAATCAGGAGAGGTGCGTGTCGGGGTTGTGCACTCTCGCCATACCTGTTCAATATGTAAGCTGAGCAAATCATCCCAGAATCTGGACCATGCGAATGATAACAACACAGCTCAGCATTAGAGGAAGGCTTATTAACATCCAGCAAAATGCAACGACACAACCTTGCTTGCTGAAAGTGAGAAGAACGTGAAGCACTTGCTGATGAAAATCAATGATTACCCCTTTGTATGGATCACAACTCATTTTAAATAAGACCAAAATCCTCACAACTGGACCAACAGGTAACATCATGCTAACGTTTGGATCCACAATAAACGCACATGGAAGCAGCAGTCAAGCAATACATTGCCTTAAGTAAATCAGCTGCACAAGGCCTCTTTAAAAGTATCAAAAAGGAAGGATGTTACTTTTAGGACTGAGATGGGCCTGACCCAAACAGCAGCAATTTCAATTACTTCAGGTGCATGTAAAAGTTGGACATTTCATTAGTAGGACTGAGAAGAATCCATGCATTTGAATTATGGTGCTGGCAAAGCATATTAAGTGCCATGCACGGTCAAAAGAACAATCTGTCTTGGAGGAAGTACAGCCAGAATGCTCCTTCGAGGCAAGGATGGCAAGACTTCGTTTCACATGCTTTGCACACGTTGTCAGGAGATACCAGTCCCTGTAGGATAGCATGCTTACTAAAGTAGATGGGCAGTGAAAAAGAGGAAGGCACTCACCAAGATGAATTGACACTGTAGCTACAACAGTGGGCTCAAACATAACATGGCCAGGAAGTGTTTTGTTATGCTGTACATAGGGTCACTGTGAGTCCAAACTAACCCGATGACACCTAACAATGACCACCCTGGACACGGAAGCAGCATTCCCGGTATGGGGCCCTGAGGTTCTCTGATTTCACACCAATATGTGGAGGAGTGCAAGGTTCTCCTCAGCTAATGTGTTGATTAATACATCGGTACGTTCTCCTGAAACTTATTTCCCTGTTTAAAATACCTGCTCCGCTTCTGTGTTGATCACCACCAAATGACCTCCCATCCCAACAGAGTTCTGCTCATTCTTAGCCCAATTTTCCTTTTCCGTAGAAATGAAGTAGCAGCTGGACTCAAATGGTTTCCAAGTACTTGGGCAACATCCCCAGACTTTCTCTGTGTATTGGAAAGAGAGTGTGAATGTAAGATGAGGGAAAGAAGAAGAAAATATGATCTGTACACATAAGAATCAAAGGATTTGGATTTGTTTCCTAGACATGGATTTCTTAATGTGGCTGTGCACCGTTCCCTGAATTGTATAATTTCAAGACATAGACTTTTTTTCAGGTTTCACTAATTAGTAGTTTACCCAGTTTAATCGACACAGAGTCCACTTATCATACAATTCAATAACTCAATAATATCAAGAAGAATTGCACAATCATTACCACAATTCATTTTGGAACATTTTTCTTTCTTGTACACGTTATTAGCTCCTCATTTTCCCCAACCTCCCTCACAGTACCTCAAGAAATCATTAATCCAGTTACTCTCTCTTTAGATTTACCTATCAGGATTATTCTTCAATAAACTTTTTTTTTTTTACATTAAGTCCTCAGTATTGGCTGAAATAGTAAATGTTTTGTTATATATATTTTTACTACAACAAAAAATTTTAAACCTTTAATCTAAAGGACATGATGACATTAATAATATCTTATATTCATAATCTTTTCTCAGAATAAGGGGTGAAACAAAGTACTTTCTAAATGTAAATGTAATGTACAATTGATAAGAATTTAATTATCCATATTATAAGATTGTTTGGAGTATAATTCCCGAAGTTGAAAAAGCAAATGATGACTGACTAAGAAATAATGTATTTGAAAATGATCCTGTTTCTATTCTTTGCTTCCAACAACATTGAAGCATAGCTACTCAAATCCTCACACAAAAAAATACATTACAATATGCTTTTTGACAAACAAGGTTGAAAAAGTCCAAAAAGTGGGTGATATTCTAATGAAGCAATTTTTATTCCAAGTTACTTATTTACATTTAAAAGTTCTTAATTTATATCTATAAATTGGAAAATAGGAAGATAATTGTTGCTAAACCTATCTCTTTCTCAAAATAGTAATATTCAATAGTGGACACCTTTCACTAAATTTTCTAAAACAATCAGTCATCCTATTAAGCAAGGGATTTCCAATAGAGTTTTACTAGTAATAATTTACCAAATTTTATAATATATTTATGTTTTGAATAACTGAGGCTAAAAATAATTTTGACGACTAGTCATTCCAGTAATTTTGCCATACCTGAATCCTAGTGGTGCACAGGAAATAAAAAGATGACATGAATAATTATATACAAACCTTATAGGAAGAGGAAACTAAGGTAAATATGAGTCCACAGTGGAAAAGAATGATCTGAAGCACCTGGTTGTTAAATAGTACGTAATAACTACGTGTTTTCTGTTGTTTTTCTAATGAACCGTTTTGGGTAATACAATTTTATTTAGGTACCAGTGGATCAATTTAAAAGAGATACAATAGCTTTTGGTTTTAGAATGTCGATATTTACAATACTTCAGAAATTAACACCTTTGCTTTTATAACATGATAAACATTTAGACATCACTTTATTTGTGTAGAGGGATATATGGATTTTAAAATCTATTTTGGGATTTGACAAGCAAAACAATTTGAAGATCCCTGATACAGGTAGCTGGAAGGAACTGTTACTTTATCCATAATTGTAAATTTCTAAGTACTCCAACTGAGTCTAAACAGGAAAAGAATTAGAGAAGCTAGACTTGCAGATTTCAATTACATTTATATTTTTATCAACATGGAAATCTTGTCTCTGGACTGTTCTCCTTTTATTGTAGGAATTTGAAAGGACATCGTTAAATTTTTGGCACTTTTATTTGCTGACATGGCATTATAGAAAATATTGTTTTATTTTATCACATAAGCTTCTTGGTAATTTGAATTACTTGTATTGAACAGCCTGGTTGGACATCATTCTGAATTGAATCTATTTAGGTTGACTACTTTTAGGTTCATCTTACGTACTTCTGACATGTTTTCAGAAGAGTCCGGTTCCTGAAGAAGGACGTCGTGTTGATAAAATTCAGACACAACGAACCAGAGAAAGGCCCTCAGTGAGACGGCTTGATGTCGGTGCTGTAGCAATGGGCTCGAGCACACGAACAATTAGAATGGCCAGGACCGGACGGCGTTTCCTTCTGTTGTTCATAGGTTGTTAGGAGTCTGACCCCACTGATGGCACCTAACAGCAACTTTTAGGTTGGCTATTTTAAGGAGTTAATTTTCCATTTATCATGCCATTGGGATTTAGAGTTAAGTTATCTGTGCCCTATTTTAAAACTTTCTGAAGGACAAGACTCAAGAGCTCAGCTATGCTTACAGTAAGGTTCATTTTCTAAAGCCCATTGGTATTGCAGGAATGTCTCCCAAAAGTTCAGAGACAGCTATCAGGACAAAATTATGCTTTCCTTCCTAAAGGGAGCACCTCACCATGTGTTGACCCAAACACTCAAAGTTATTTTATAAATAGGAAAGAAACATTTTTAAAGACAAACAAAGCCATCTAAGTCAGTATAGAGAGAACTATCCTTCCCCTACTCTCCATGAACGTCATTCATGACAAATATTTAAAAAAAAAAAAAAGAAAGAAAGAAAGGAAAATTCTAATAGAAATGAAGACCTTTCTTCTGTCTCCTCCCTTGTGGCAGGTTTCTCCAGAGGAACAGACCAAACGCCAAACCAAACGCACTGCCATCGAGTCGCTGTGGACTCATGGCGACCCTATGGGACAGGGTGGAGCTGCCTCTATGTGTTTCTGAAGCTGTAACTACCAGAGCAGAAACCCACCTTTCTCTCAGGGAGCAGCTAGTGGTTTCGAACTGCTGACCTCACATTGCCCATAACCTATATGCCACAGGGCTCATCCCATAGAGTTAGAGAAGCACATGATTTAGGTTCTTAAAATGTAATATGTTCGATCACATTTCCTTTTTTGGAACTATTAGAGCCATAAGATCCACTGCAGAATGCACTGTGTCTCTCACTGGCTTTTCTTTCTTTTCACTTTTTTACTAGGCGAGGTGTGAAGCAGACCAATGAACTTCAATTCAACGCCCTGCATATGAAGTTCCCAGAGCAGCATTTTGTCGTGGGCATAGCTTTATCTTGAACAATGTCCCAAAGATCAATAATAAAGTTAGTACTAGGAATGGAGATGGGGCATAAGAAATAGACCTTATACGCTTCATAGAGGGTGACCATAATGTGAAAAAGACAATTGTTCTGGATAATGTCCAGAGTAGGCTTGGGCAAATGCTGTATGATGGTGCTACTTCCTGTTATCAAGAAGTCTGTGGAGGAGTTGATTGGGGAGAATCTACTGCCTGGTTTGGAGCGATTTTTAAGAGATCCAAAGGTTTTCTTGAAATCAAACAATCATAGAATAAGCAAATCTCAAATCCAATCTCCTACCTCTCTCTGGGGAAAAAAAGAAAGGCTACTTAACCATTGCAAAATTTTACCTGTCACCCTTGTCCCTTCACTGGAGCAGGTAAGACTTGAATGATAGGTATATAGTGCAGACAGCTTTTGGTCATTTTTCCCATATGTAAAATTATAAGTCACTGTGAAGGAAGAAGAAGAAGAATTAATATTCATTCTTTTAACAATCCAGCCTTATGTTCAGTATTCTGTCCCAAACTCACCTCCAATCGCCATCACTCTCTTTAGGCATGTCCACTGAATACCGTGGTTGCATGCAGGCTAGCTTGTATTCATAAATCGCATTTGTTTGTTTATATGTCTGCACATTTGTTTTGGCCTCTTTTCCCACCAGGACATAAACTCTACATTCTGACTTCATTGGTAGTTCAGTGGTGGAATTTTTGCCTTCCATGTGAGAGATCCTACTTTGATTCACAGACAAAATGCACCTCCTCTGTCCATCTAGTCATTATGCATCTATTCACGCACTAGCAATTATCAACAACAACACTCTAGGGAAAAGACAATTTTCCATATCAGCAAATCACAAAAACCTAGAACAGTGACTCTCATCAATATATGTTTGTTGACTCACTGTCTGTCTGCTATTTCTTTGTTTCAGTAATTCTGTGAAGTGGGAATCCAGGACAGATAAACACCTCAGGACCAATAATGAGAGTAGTGACGCCAAGAGGGGAAGGGGCAGGGGGGGGACCGATCACAGTGATCGACATATAAACACCAAAACCCCCTCCACCCAAGGGGACGGACAACAGAAAAGTGGGTGAAGGGAGACAGTGGTCAATGTAAGACATGAAAAAAACAATCAATTATAAATTATCAATGGATCATGAGGGAGGGGGGAAATGAGCTGATACCAAGGGCTCAAGTAGAAAGAAAAAGTTTTGAAAATGATCATGGCAACAAATGTACAAATGTGCTTGACAAAATGGATGCATGTATGGATTGTGATAAGAGCTGCAAGAGCCCCAAATAAAATGCTATTTTAAAATTAATAGATAAAAATAATCCTGTGAAGCAAACTTATAAATTACTCTGTATTTTCTAAAGATATCTGACTGTAGACTACGGATACACATATTGGATGAATGACAACTAAAGGGACTTTAAATATTCCGGGGCATTTTAAATGTCTCATGTAAGGAGCCTTGGTGGCAAGAAGTTATGTATTGGGCTGTTAACCACAAGGTCAGCAGTTAGACTCCACCGGCCACTCCTCAGAAGATGAGGTTTTCGGCTTCTATAAAGACTTGCAATCTCAGGATCCCAAAGGGCCAGTTCTGCTCTGTCTTATATTGCTATGAGTCAGAACTGACTTGATGGCAGTGGGCTTTTTGATATCATAATGAAAATTATCTTCTGTATTCAGAGTGTCTACACTGAGCACAACCACCTGTTTCATTCAGATCCTGATTTGATTATTTGCTACTTTCATGTCCTTCTACTTTGGAAATTCAATACTAATAAAATTTTCTACCTTCTTTTCAGTTATGCCTCAGGTTCCTGAATATCTGCTTCATTTGGTTAAATATTCTTAAACACTCCCATCATTTGTACATGACCATTAAAATACAACAGATTTTCATACTGGCGAAAATTATTTGTGCTTTACTAAAGATTCACACTTATTCACATCTCCTAGGGAACTGCTGACACGATTAATTTGACATAATAATCATTCCTAGAATATCAAATAAGTATTTTTAATCACTTTATTAGTGAATAGAAAACCAAATTATAGATTGCAGAGTAAAAAGATCATTGAGACTTCTCACAAAATGAACTTGAAATACTTCGTTAGGGACAAATATAAGAAGGGAGAAATATTTTATTTCCTCCTACATCCATTATTTTATTTGAATACTATTTTCATTCATATTGAGAAAGACTCCCATCTGGGTAGCAAAGATTCTGATCCATAGTATTGTAGTGATAGTGACCAGAAAACATATTTTATTGAACCCAGCACTGAAAGATGGTGTCTTGAGGATATCATCCATTAACACACATACATATGTGATATCATGACTGTAAATGGGAACATGCCACAAAAACTAGGTAAAGTTGACTTAGAACAGAGTCAAACATCAAAAGGGAAAGGTAAATGCCAAAGTAGTGGAAGAAAATAAGAAAAACATAGCGCTGCCAGTCAGAGCTGACATGGAGTAATAGAACCCACGTCTTCATGGGAACTTCACAGACTGCAGTGGAGAAAAGGCCAAGAGAAGGGACACCTCCATGAAGAACTTACCCACACAGCTCACAACGAAGCAGATACTGAGAAGTGTGATGGAAATTGCAGCAACAGACCAGCATCTCATCTGGGATGACCAAGCTCCTTTAGCTGCCCGATAAGCAAAACAAATGCCGTCATTAGTGGGCTAAGAAGCCAGAGTCCCCACGAACCTTAGAGCAATGAACAAGGCAGATACATCATCTATGATAATGATTTTAAACAAAACAATCCCCGTTAAAGCAAGAAGAGGACCAAGAAGCTCCTGCAGAATAAATGACTGCAGAGGAGTGCTGAAGTCAAAGACAATCTGGGGCAAAAGGCATCCTCAGACAACTGCAATTTCCATTTTCTTACTCTTTGTTCTAAGTATTTCATTCATCCATTAATTCTGTCTTCTTCAAACCATCAGTGTTGTCTCCCACTTCTCCACCGCTATATCAATACTTTGTTTCTGATTATTTTAAGAGCTCCAGGCTCCAAGACTTTTTATTTGATCAGTATTTCCTGGTTCTACTACATGGCCCAATCTCAATTCCTTTATTCCATCTATGGTCTACATCTTCTCCCCAGGCTATTTCCATCTCATCAAACATTTCTACCTTCCTCTCTGGAAAGGTGAAAAAGGGATTCTTACCTCTATCTTGAGATTTCCCTTCTTGCATCGTCATGAGGGTTCCCTGTGTTCAAAGTTCTGGAGCCTCTTTATTCTCACTCCCCTGGGGCTGTTACAGAGCTATAGCTTAATTCAAAGAGGGACAAACTCAAAGACAAACTGATACACACTGTGGTAAGGCAAAGAGACTCAAAATATACCTCAAAAGAAGAAGTTGGGGTTTAGACGAAAGTTTCCAGTGATTTAAGACATAGGGAGAGCCAGAACAGGCTATTGAGAAACATGCTAAAAGTTATTCCTGGGAACTATGAAAAGACTATGCAATAACTTGTTCATTTCCCAACCTAAAATTTCTGATTCCTATACACTCTGCTCTACAAAGTGAAGTACTTTATATATCCTAGAAGAAATCCATTTGTAGGCTTAATTAAATCAAGTGCTCCCTAACCAATTATTCCAGACTTGGCAGATACTACACTTTTGGAGGTACACTTTCTCCTGATGCAAAGCAAAAAGCTGCCTGGAATTAATTTTTTCAAATAGCAATTACTTTTCTCATCTCCAAGGCTAAAATGCATAAAACTATGTTATGTGTAATTAATCTATAATAATAATAATGCCATAAATGATCATACAAACCTAAATAATATGATAGTCTGAGGGGCTGCCTTGTATTTGAAACATGCTTTCTCTCATGCATTGATGCTATGCATTTGTTATGCACATTTTGTTTGTTTAGTAGAGGTGTTAGATACATACCTTTCTAGAGGAAACTACATGTGCCACACTTTGAACTACTCACAATGGTAACCTCAAGACTACGTGTAAATTTCAATGCTATGAACAAAGGAACCACATTATCATTTACACTTTTTCAAAAAAGTACCAGTTTACATGAGGCAGGTGGGGAGGAAGGTATAAAAAGATGAACTGATACCAGGGCTCAGATAGAAAGTAAATGTCTGGAAAATGATGATGGCAACATATATACAAATATGCTTGTTACAATTGATGTATGAAATGTTTTAAGAGCTGTAAAAGCCCCCCAATAAAATAATTTTTAATTACCAGTTTACGTAATTAATAAGGGAGCATTTTAAGTTCTAACTTTTAGTTCCTTGTATAAATGCACCACCTGAAAGTGCCAAGGAAATACCCTTTTGTTTTTAATGGCACATGAGTAGAAGTAAAGCTGGCTGGCAGTATCGGGTTATAAGAAAATCAATAAAGTAATTGTATTTTATACCCTTGTGGAATGTGATTGGCAATTAAGAGGCAAATTTTGTATGACCTCTGCTTGTTGTAAAGTTTGAAAATGAGTTTTCACAGATGTAGTCAAATGATTAATTTTTGTGTGGTAAATATCTTCTGCAGTGATTGGCTCTCAGGTTCCCCGACAGCTGGAGAAGGAGAAGACAGAAGTTCTTGAGGTTTCAATGTGTCCCCAAATGCTCAGGATTACTCCAGAGGAGGGCTGCTGTTCCTGGGGCACCAGCCATCCCAGCAGATCCCAGTGACCAGGATGCCCTGCCTCAGCCCTCTTCCTGCAGAGTGTGAGAACTTCCAGGACTGGGAAGGGGAGGAGGCAGAAGAGGAGGTAAACGCAACATGGGGCACAAGCCATGGGGTGTATTTAAAGCATACATTCAGCTTGCAGTGTGGAATTACAGGGATGACAGGATAAGGGGGAACTTCCTCCTAGGAGGGACTGTAGGACAGTTGGGTTGAGGGAGTGGTTGTGTACATGTTAAGTGATGAAACCAGCATCAGTGGTCATTTTTTCCCTGTCTCATCTTGAAAAGTTCCATTCTGTTAAAAGTCATATGTTGCTTAATTTCTCCATTTCAGTGTCATATTATCGCAGACTCTGAGGACATGTTGCTTGACTAACCTTTCTTATAAACTTGAGACTTTCATTTGTGCCAAGAATAAACCATTTTATTAGCTTTTAAAAATGGAAATGATCTTCTTCTATTTCATATGTGTGCCTTAATTGCTATAAAGTGACCTCTGATCACTGCTTTTGCTGTGTCCCATAGGTTTTGGCATGTTGTTATCATTCTCATTGTTTCTAGGAATCTCGGAATTTCATCTCTTATTTGGGGGAATATCCACTCTTTTTGTTGAGTGGTGTGTTGTTGGGTCTTCAAGTGTTTGTCTTTATGTTTTTATTCTTTCTATTGTTGATTTCCAATTTTATGACGCTGTGGTCTGAGAAGATGGGTTGAATGATCTCTCTGTGTTTGAATTTGTTAAAGCTTGCTTTATGACCTAGCATGTGGTCTACTTTAGAATATGTGCCATGTGCATTGGAGAAGAACACGTATTTTTTTGCTGATGGTTGGAGAACTCTAAATATCTAGAGTCAAGATGCAGAATTGTGTTGTTCAGCCCTTAGTTTCTTTATTGAGTTTCCTTCCTATTAATCTGTCTTTCCTGGAGAGTGGTGTGTTGAAGTCTCCTACTATTATTGTTGAGCTAGTGATTTCTCTTTTCATCTCTTTGAGGACTTGGTGATGTATTTCGAAGGTTTTTCATTGGGTGCATATCTGTTTTTATTGCTATGTGTGCTTGATGTATTGATCCTTTGATCATTATGTAAAATCCATTCTTGTCTCTCATTATGTTGTTTACTTTGAAGTCTCTTTTGTCAGAGATTAATATTACCACTCCTGGTGTTTTTTGGTTACCATTGGCTTGGTAAATTTTTCACCATCTTTGGCTCTCATTATGGTTGTTGTTGTTTTTTTCTGGGAGTTTGAGGTGTGTCTCTTGAAGGCAGCAGATTGATGAATCTTGTTTCCTAATCTAGTCCTTGACTCTTTGCCTTTGACATTCAGTGTTATCAAATCTAAATGTAGTTTATTATCATGTTGTATTATTTGTATTTTGTAGTTTGGGGTTTTTTTTCTTTTGGTGAGGAGGGAGTTTATTCATGCCTTCTATTTCCCCCTCTAAATCCGTATTGTTTGGGGTGCTATTTTTAGTGTCTTGACTTCTAGGTGGTCTTACACACTATGGTGATCTCATGTCTATGCACTGCAGCTTGACTTTCTGACCATAGAGATCCAGTTAGGTTTTTTGAATGCTGATTCTGTTTTTGTGACTTTTCTAAATATTCCTTGTTTGAGATTACTTTTATTTCTCCTCCATATTTGATGGATAACTTTGCTGGGTATATATATGATTCTTGGTTGGCAATTTTTGCCTTTCAACGTTTGGTATATGTTGCTACAGTTTCTTCTTTCCTGCATGGTTTCTACAGAGAGGTCTGAGTTTATTCTTATCTATCTACCTTTGTATGTGTCTGTTTTTCCTCTCTAGTTCCTCTCAAGATTCTTTCCCTTGAAGTTGGGTAATTTGACTATTGTAAGTCTTGATTTGGCGGGGCAGGGATCTAACCTATTTGGTGTTCTCTCTGCTCCCTGGATGCTTATCGTTCCCTCCTTTGTACTATGGGGGAACTTTTCTCCCATGAATTTCCTTACCATTTTATCTGTAGACTTGTTTGTTTCTTGCTTTTCTGGTATCCCAATGAGAGGTATATTATTTCTCATCGTGGTGTCCCACATCATCCTCAGGTATTCTCCAGAGTTCTTTTGCATTTTTGTTTTATTGTTTCTCTGGTTTGATGATGTCTGTGTGGTTGTCTTCAAGTTCACTGTTTCAATTTTCCTTTTCTTCCCTTCTATTTGCTCATTTCTTATAACATGTTTTTATTTGTGTTATTTCATTTTTGGCTTTTGGGTTTCTTTGGGGTGTGAAGTTTTTAGCATCTCAATTTCTTCCTTTGTTTTCAGGATTGATCCCCAGATCTCTTGTATGGTCCTAAACATCATTCTCCTGTAGTCTACTTCTGGTGATCCCAGGGCTTCTTTTTCCGTATATTCCATTGGGTTTGGATAATCTTCAGTTTTTGACTTTGTTTATCTTGATTTCTTTGTGTGGTGACTGCTGTTGGCTGTTGTTTGCTCAGCATAGTGGTCCAGCTCTATAGATGGTGTGCAGGGTTCTGGGTTATGTGTGTGTGGAAGGTGACTCTGTGGGTTGGAGGAGGAAAATTATATTGTGTGGAGCTGAGGAATACGTGATAGAATTGGGTGGGTAGCATGAATCGGAGATAAGAGCACAAGAGTAGGGTTTAAGTAATAATATTGATCATAAGTAATCTTCTGGTTAAATATAATGGTTTTTTATAAATTAGAAAAGGAGATTTTAAGAGGTGTTCTAGTACTTATTAATTTATGTGAAAGTGTGTCTCATTGAGAAAGGGGGTCTTGAGGTAGTGGTGGATAAAGAAAGTTGAGAATATGTCTAGTAATCTACCAGAATCACTTACTGACCCACTATATAATGTAGGGAGAGTACAGCAGACCAATATTTTTGTTTTTATAGCATAGGTCCATTGGTTGGATAGCACTCTGCTTCCCTGCTCTCAGGGAACTAATCTGCCAGTGCAGGAAGTGTACCCCGACAGGGAGCCTTGCATGGGAAATAGTGGAGAAGTATGGAGATTCTGTACAACACCATGCTATCCACCCACCCACTACTTGGGAGTCTCAGGGGGTAAATAGGCAGTAGGAATGGAGATCCGTGGTTAGAAGTGGTTTCTAATGAGGGAGAGGTCAGGAGGAGGTAAGTCCTGGCACTGGTAAGCCACCAGGCAGGAGAAGGATTTGCCACTGGGACTCCCTGGTATATCAAGTTCTGGGTTTTCCTGATCTACATTCAGCATTCTTTTCTTGCCTTTAATTTTGGAAGGTTGGATTATTCTGTATCTTGGTGGGAATTTTTGGGAGGTCCATCTTATATGGGGTCTCTTTTTGTTTGTTTATTTGTTGTTGTTTTGTTTTGTTGTTTTATTTTATTGAGGGCTCTTACAGCTCTTATCATAATCCATACATACATCCATTGTGTCAAACACATCTGTACATATGTTGTCATCATCTTTTTCAAAATTTTCTTTCTACTTGAGCCACTTGTTATTGTTGTTTTTAAATTCTTGAATTCATATCTTTTTTGCCTTTCATGATATTAGAGATTTTTTTTCAACAA